CGACTGGCTAGTCACGCTTCTTTTGCTGCCGCCCAGGACACAGTTGGCTTTCTGGGCTGCAAGTGCACACTGACGGCTCATGTTGAGTTTCCCATCAGCCAACACCCCCCAAGTCTTTCTCCTGACAGTTGCTCTCAATCCATTCTCCACCCAGCCTGTATTTGTGCTTGGAATTGCCCCAACCCACGTGCAGGACCTTGCACTTGGCCTTGTTAGACTTCATTATGTTGTTGTTTAATTAAGCTTTTAGTAGACGTTTAAATTCAGATCCTGCTATTTGCTAAGCCTGTAGAGAGACCATGTTTTTCAGGGGATTCCTTGTGGATGTAATTGTCTGTGTGCATTGTAGCACTTAATTTCCAACAGAAAATAGCAGCTTACCTTTGCCCACCAGCTTGAGAGTATGAAGTAGGTGTTAACATTTTCCTCACCAAACTGTTCTGCCACATAGAGCCCTAATGACCCATACTTGTCATATATGTTTCGCTTGGACAAATCAGTCAGCGTTGCATGAGCATTGTTGATTTCTTTAAATTTTTCTGCAGCCTCTGGATTGTCTGGGTTCTTGTCAGGATGATATTTCAGAGCCAGTTTTCTTAAACATGGAAAAAAAAAAAACAACCCAGAAGGAAAATAAATCATCTGTATGTGTTCATGTATACAGATAGTTACAAAATATTTTAAAATATTTTATTAGAGATACAATAATTCTGAACAGTGTGTCCAGCCTTCGTTTTTCCAGCTCTGATGTACTCAGTGGAAGAAATGTGACACAAAGTGACTGAACATGAAACTTTTGGTAAAAGAGTTTTTCCTATTACACCGAGCATGAACTTTGTGTATTGATACCTAGTCAGCTACCATGTTAAAGGAGACAGTGATATATGCTGAGAGAACAGATTGCAGCATGATAATAAATCACACGCATTTGTTGCATTATGGTTGCCAACTGATTTGCATAATTTAGCAGGTTTCAACAAAGGTAAAGATTTTTTGAAGATTATTTAAAAACATGATGATCACACTGCTTATCCCAACAACATTATCTTCTTTATAGCAGAGGAAATTCCATATTTGATTGCTTATCATTCACAGCTATTTAAAATCTTGTAAACAGTGTCTGTGTTTGCAGAAGCCCAGACAGTGATGATGGAAAACACAGTTAGGAGTTGCAGTAGAAAGGAAGCATCTTTCGGAAGCACAAGGTGGAAAAGCATAGAGAGGTAGCCCCCAGTTTCAAGTGCCTGTATTCAGGCCTAATTCCCCAGTGTCACACTTCTGAGACAGTCCTTAAAGCAGCGGAAACTGACTGTCAACTGTTTGGGACTATTTATGCTCACGGGAAGCCTTTGCTGGGACAGGGTTCAGTACTTGTCTTTTCCCCCGGACTGTACACAGCAGTATGGCAACCGAGGACAGGTACAGCTTGAAATGAGCCATGTGGGACTGTTGGCTCAGGGGCAGTGCTGGGGAAGCACAGCTTGGAGAAGAAAGGGTTTACTTCCAACTGTTTTGGAGCACTGGCAGTGTAAGTTCACACATACCTGCAAAACAAGCATAGACAGCAGTGTATCACTTAAAAAATCTCCACTCCCTTTGAAGAACTGGCAATAAGATTTTTCGAGGACATCCATTTAATGACTAGTGCTGTCCTCTAGTGGCATCACAAGTGATTTAGTAGTGTTTTAAATTCCATGATCCTCACCTCAGTCAAGCTATGTTGCATTTTGTAAATATTCTCTCTGAGTGTTTCAGGAGATAGCCATGACTGCTGTAGTAAAAAAAAAATATTGTGATGTGAAGGCAATGTGCCCATACTTCTAACAAATTTATCCTTGGAGGAGGGTCTTGCTTGACTTTCCACTGAAGTCCCAGTAGAGGTTATTCCCCTAGAAAATGTAACTGTTTTGCTCCTGATGACAGTTTCCACTTTGGGGACGTTCTGCCGGTATCAAGACTGATACGAGCCCGGGAACAGCCTCTGCCAACGATCTCTTTAGCTCTGTATGCTGAACCCAATTAATCTTCTCATAGGTAATACATAACTGCTTAAACATATTTCTAATAGCATGAAGGGGTTCCCGTTCAGCCATATTTGATATGCTGTGTCTGTGGTACCTTAAACATAAATTTTCAGTCATATTTAACATGTGGTACCTTAAACATAATAAAAGATTAAATAGGAGAACTGGAAAAACAAGCTAAGTCTTGCATGACTAATGAAATTATGTGCCATCCGAGTATTTAAGTAGCTTATGCAATCTATCCCTTTTCTTGGCTGAAAACAAACCTCAGCAACTAGAATTTAAAAAAATGGGAGAGGTACACTTTCAAAAACCATGCGTGGTTGTAGGCATTGGACAATCAATCTTCAGCCTTTTTTCTTTTCCCACAGACCCAAAAACATCTTCTGCCCTCTCCATATCCCCATCAATCTCAAAAAAATAAGAGTTTGAACACAATGCAGTTTTCAAAACGTTAAAAAACGTTGGTTGCACACTGCACTTCACTTAGTATTGTTTTAGAATACTAACAGAATTACTTTCAACATAATACAGTTCATAAAAGATGAGATATGTTCTTATTCTGATTTTGGGAAAACTGTTGTCACTAAAAACAGTACATTAACAAAACAACTCCCTGCATATGAAGATGACATATACTAATTGGAGATGATTTAGTAACAGGAAAGAGATCTATATACAGGTAGTGCAATTCATATGAGTGAGAAAAAGAACTCTGTTAGGTCCAAACCAAGAAATAATAAAAGTAAAGACAAGAACTACATGACATAAGTATCAGAGATATAAAAGCCTCGCTGTGGGTCTCTGGAAAAGTGACATTCCTAGTTATGCAATAATCATGGTTCAATATGAGCAGAGAAAAAGGAAGAAGCCAAAAATGGAGAGTGAAATAAACAGAGGAGTATATTGGCTACTTCCCAGACCAAACACATGGACTTATGTCCATTCAGATTCTTCTCATGATGAATGGACTTCTCCTTCACCACGTCGAGACCACTGATCATTGCAGCCATTCACAGGAACAAGCAATGTGACGTGTTTGGGAGAAAAAAGTGACCACAAGCAGAGAAATAGCCATCCCAAAAGACAGATGGGGCACTCACGGAAATGAAGTCAGAGGAATATGTCAGCACCTCTGTCAGAGGGAGCCATAGGATGAGAGGTGAGAACAGGATATATGGTGCTACAGGGGTGGGTCTGAAGAGTGTACATCTGGGTGTAGGAAGCAACATTTTGGAGGCAGGAAAGTGTTGTATAGGGTGATATATGGCTGTGCTATAGAGTATTGAACGGTGTCAGATACAGATATGATATTACTTTGACACCGTCATCCTGTGCATTGGTGTTGTTTTCAGAGTTCACCTCGATGAGGAAAATGAAAGGGGTGA